ACACCTCAAATCTATGTGCTTCTCCCTTGTATTTTTTTATTTATTTATTTTTTCTTATTTTTATTTTGTTTTTCATTGTGTGTGATACATGTACAATTGCACCTTAATCCTTATTTATCTTGATATACTGTATATACATTGATATACTGTATATATATTATATATTCTTTATGCACATTTTTTCTCCTTGTTTGCACCTTCTTTAATTACTATGCCAATATGTGACCAGTGAATTTCTCCACTGTGAGATCAATAAAGCTCATCTAATCTAATCTAATAATTCTGACATTTTGAATTGAAAAAGCTTCCTGAATGGGAAACGAAATGTCTTCGAACTTGGAAAAACAAAGTAAAGTGTTCAAATGTGTAACTTAAAAAATAAGAACTTAAATTTAAGACAAGTCATGATGTCCCAGATCTGCTCAATTTGATTCCAGTGGGGGGTACGGGTGGGTCAGTCCTTAGCTTCAATGCCTTCCTCTTGCAAGAACTTCTGACACACTCCAGCCACATGAGGTCTAGCATTGTCCTGCCAATAATCTCCACCTGTTGTCAATTAAATTTGCACAACAGCATGTGGAACTCACTGTCAGTTTTGTTTCCAAAGTTGAGGGTTTGATCACACAGAAATTTGACTTAATTGAAGTTATATTGCGCTTACGTTGTCTTTATTTTTTGAGCAGTGTATAATAATATTTATTCAACTTTCTGATCTCACACTGGAGAAATGTACCTCTGCAGTGGGCTGCTATTGTGCGGCACCCGGGGAGCAGTTTGGGGGTAAAGGGTCTTGATCAAAGACCCAGAGTGCAAGCTGTGGGGATCGAACAGGGTACTTGCAACCTTCTCAGAGCACAAGTGCACTGCTCTAACCACTAGGCCAACACTCCCCAGTATAATTTGAAGACTCATAGATAGTAAAAATAAAATCCAAAACACAAATATGCAGGGATTTCCAAAGAAGAATAATTGTAAAATCAATATAAAACTAATTTGAATGGGAATCAAGTCCTCAAATATTGCATAGGAAACATAGCTCTATTTAGTTTAAAGGGCAGAGTGAATGCTACAAAAAAAATCACCTAAAAACAAACATCCCTACAAAAATTGTCAACCTTCACAGTAATGCAAAAAACAATAATGACCTAAACAAATCAACAAATATATATATTTTCTAGAATATGTCTGCTTGCTGAAGCCACCTATTATCGTAATGTTTCATTGATGTAATATTCTCTTATCTATCTATCCATGCTACACCATCAGTTCACCTTGTGACTTGAGCACAAAAACAGCTCCACCTCCAGCTGCAATTTTAATAGTCTGATGTTAATTGATGACTCTGGATAATGCCATGGCAAAAGGTCAAGCATGCATAACGCAAATGACGTTAGCAATAAAATCAAGGGTCTTAGCCACAAGACACGTTGTAAATGAGTTTTACATAAAAATCATTTCCCATCAATCTTTGCAAAGGGCAAATTTCAAAACATCAAATTGTGGCCACAAGAGGCATGTTGTTGGAAATACTTCGTCTGCATCCTAATATTGCTGTTCAAAACATGTATCTGCGCATATACTATAGTCTATTTAAATGATTACATTTGCTTATACATGTTTCACAGACAGTTTACATATTGATTCTTTTTTTCCCCTTTTTTGTCACAGCAGAGAAATTTAGCCAGAAATCGTGTTTCAGGACAATGGTTACTTATTAAAGGAAGTACATAAGCAGCAAAGTCAAAACATATATATAAAACTGAATTCCCCTCATTGTCTTTTAAAGGACTGTGTGTATTTAACGATTGTATCTTTGCAATGTTCCTCCTCATTTTGTTTGCATGTTATCTTTGTTTTTCATCCGTTTGCTTTTTTCCTGCACCAACCTTTCCGGAATTACTCCATTTAAAACCTCACTTTAACATATGCATACTCTTGCTCTCATCAGAGCTACTCATGGGTCAAGTATGCATGGGTTCTGAAAGACTTTGGTGAACTGACTATTATGTTTTCACCACAATATTTATGTAAGCAATAAAAATGTGTGGGGTGTAAAGTGTATGTAAACATCTGGTCTGAAATCCTCCAGAAAAAGCTGGAGAGCTGACAGGAGAGACAATTCAGATTTCTCATAAATAAACAACTCTTTAGCCCGACCCAATGAAGAGAGAGAGCGACACATGAATTGTTCATGAAAGTGTTGTTGTTGTTGTTCTTGTTGAACATTGAATGGTAATTGAAGCTGAGCTGTCTTGCATATAGACAATAACAAATATATATAACAGATATAAATTATTCCAAACTGATGCTTACTTGATCCTAACCAAGATGGATCAGATTTCAGACATAAAAAAACCCTGTATTTTTTTTTCACTTTGATAGAGAATAAGACTGTGTCTTGTTCATTCTCTGTTCACTGAGTTAGATCAAAGATTTTCCATTTTCTTTTTGTCTCAGGGAGGTTGGAGAAGTCAGAGAAGCAAGATAAATTTGATTTGCTGTGACAGAGAAAAGGGGCGATTCACTGACGACGATGATTCACTGAAGCACAAGAGTCCATGAAAGTATATCATATCACCTCACCTGTTTGTACCATGCAATATCAAACCATACTTTCCTGTCAGCCTGATCTTTGTGTCCAATTTGGCAAAAAAATAAATAAAGCTTTGGTCAAAAGAGCACAAAGTGTAAAGAAAACTCAAGACAGCAATTCCTGGTTGGATTGCATTTTAAGTGGTTTTTAAACTTAAATAGAAAAGAGAGAGAGAAGGATAGCACATATAACTTCACTGTCAATCATTAACAAAACAAAGCAACTACACTGGAAAAAAACAAAAACCAAAACAAGAAATTTTTTCTTAAAATAAGAGCCTTTTTTTGGATTAAGGAGGTAAAATAGAAATTTTGCCAATGGAACAAGACAATTTACACTTGGATTGTTTTATTTCAAGTGCATAATATCTAAATATCTTATTTAAAGAGCAAAAATAGTCATTCCTTGGCAAACTACCTCATTTACCTTCTCAAATTAAGGATAAATACACTTAATTTAAGAGATTTTTACTTATTTCTAGATCATTTTTCCAGTGTAACTCTGTATCCATTGTGCCAACTCTACAGTTATGGTTTGCTAAAGGATTTTTCATGCTTTTGCTTTTATAAAATACTTAAATCAAGCAGAGAGTACAAATTATTTTGTTGTAACTATCTGTATTTGTGGGGGACGTTAGAAAGATGACGCAAAAGTTTTTGGTACTATGGGAGGAGTCTATATCTGTCAGCCGAACGTGACACTGTGTACAGTAAATGTAGAGACATTTACAATTTCAGAGACAAAGTTTGTAAGGAAGCAATCTTCATCATATTCTGGTAGAACGTAGATTTTTCATCACATCTGCTATTAATTGCAGTAGTTCCATTAACTACAGCAGAGCATTACTACAACTCTATAGAGACGCCATCATATTGGGAGTTCAGTAGTCTTGGCTGTTGTCGGTTGCCTGAATGCATCCAGTGTGAAGTGTTGCAGAGCATGGTTTGTGACAGATGAACGAGCAGAAACAGGATGTAGTTTATGTGAAGTCAGGTTTTAATTCCATTTAGTGGCAGGTAAAGGAAAGGTTTGTTAGTTTTGTTATATAACAGGACCCAAATCTTTTTTACTTAAAATTCTAATATTTTTCTCAACTTGGACTTCCCTTGCATGGATCCCATTTTTGCAATAACGTTGCCTCCTCCGTTTTTATATTTGAACTGTTTGTTCTGTGGTCAGAAAAGAAACGTCTCTTTTAGAGAAATTTTGTATTTCCTCAGTTCAATCAGTAATAAGGACTGATTATGAAAAGTTAAAGTGAACCCTAACGTTTAGAAAATATGGTTAGTTAACAATGATTTAACATGAAAGATAAGTATGTTTTGGATAGGGGCAAGTTGCTTTTTAATGGCAGTTATCCACTAGTAAATAAAGCTTTTTTTTTTAACATGTTTTTATTTACTCAGAATGAAATTAAAATTTTATGTGACACATTTAAGTGTTGCAAAAGTAAAAAAATTAAAGAAAAACAAAAAAAACGAATCCTGTACGGCAGGAGGCACATATAGTTTCAAAATGCTGTTGTATTGTTTAAAATCTATAAACTATTTCTTGCCTATTTTCTTTTTGGTTATGTTTAGGTTTTTGGCTTTAGACTTTTTCTTTTATTTATATATTTACAATCAATAAAAAATAAAATGTGTGCAGCTAAAGTGTGTAGGGAATATGCCTATGAGGCATATAAATACACATAAATATACATTTGACCTCTGGGTGAAATGTTTGTTTTTTCTCTACTCAAAAAAAGTAACAAATGAAGGTTTTAAAAATTCGCTATTAATGGGCTTATTAATCAGTGTTTCACTGTAATTATAAAATGAATACAGCTATCAACATCTACAATACCTGTTTAAAAATAACCTATAAGTTACTGTAACATTTAATTTCCCCTTGGGATTAATAGAGTATTTTTCATTTTAACTGAATTTAAATAATTCTTTAAAACCATTGAGTATTTTTTGTCTTGTAAATAAATAGTTAAAAGGGCAAAACATTTTAGCTCTGACTAAACTGTATGATATACTCATTGCTTTTGTTTTTTGCAAGACAAAACAGTGTTGAAATAGCTTGCTGCAATCTTGTAACACATACTGCCTGCTCTGTGCAAAGATAATTTTTGATGACGCGTTGTTAATTACTTTAATCTCTGAAAAAGAACACACCTTGGGCCATCATGTGTTATTAGTCCAGTATTTCCTTTTTTCAAGGTGTGATCATTTCCAGTAACATGAAAAAAACTGAAAGAACCTGATATACAGAGGGAGGAGGAGACTCACGATAAATCAGGGAGAAAGGAGGAGTAAAGGGAAGTTAATATTCTAAAGGTGAAGGCATGGTGGGTGGTGCTCATAAGCAGAAAAACAGGAACCAGGTGATAAAATGAAACCAAGTACACCTGAACACATGAGTAAGGCCACTCCTGTCCAAAGTCCTTCAGAGATGGTTGATTAGCTGAAGCAGGAGGTTGCTCTGATAAAACTGTAGATATTTTTATTCTTAACTGGAGGATCATTTAATAAATTAGATTATCAATGTAATTCAGAAATAAATACACAAGAGTGGATTTAAAATAATCTAATCATATTTCTATACAATTTAGAAGAAAATGTGGTCTGTGAACGTCATGTTCCTTCTCCTGTTCTGCTATGGTGAGTAAAATACACTAGAATGGCTCTAATGTTTTATTTGTGGACATTTAAAGAAGCAGTCACTAGATTAACTATCCATTAGGGTGATATTTTAGGGTAACTGATATCTAGTCAAGTCAAAAACTAAACTTGCTTCATTTGAAGCGAAAAAAAGTGTGAGAACTGAGACACAGTCTTGTTGGTTGAGTTTAACGCCAATGTCAGACTGACATGGCCACTTTAAAGTACTCTTAGTTTGGTGTCATTTCTGTTTATTCTTTCTTCAACAACTATGACTGAAATAGGTCTCAATGTTATCTCTGGTATTCTAGTTTAGGCAAATAAACCACTAAAAAATTAAGTTTGACATAATGAAGGAATCGTTTCTATGGAGAGATTTTTTTGCAAAAAGTGCCTATCTTGAAATATCAGGACTGCATTGTACAATAGGTTTTAGGTACTGTTTATAAACGGAAGCTTCTGGTTTACAGTAAGCTATCAGCAGAGACAAAGTCCACCTCCAGCAATGTGTTCTATAATGTCCATAATCCAGAGTGTGATATTTTACTCTGGGCTCTGAGTCATTTAGGGTTTCAAGGGCTTTTAATATCTCAAAATTAGATTTATTTTTTAAGCATGTTAAAATTTGAAATTTGTACATTGTCTAATAGCATTTTTAAAAACTTTTCTAAAGATATGAAACAATAACTTTTTCATTGAGTAAATTTGAAATATTGAGTAAAAGTCAATAAGCAGAAATATTTTTACTTATTTTCTCCAACAGCATGCTTGTCAACTGGAGATGGCAGTGTGAAATTTATCTCCAAAAACTTTTACAATGTTCTTCACTGGGATCCTCTACAGCCTTCTTTTCCAGGCCAAAAGGTGCTCTACAGCGTGCAATACTGGAGGTAAGATTAAAACTCTGATGACAAGTTTGATCATTAGTCTAAAGTTTCTGAAGATACAGTTTTCATCTTACTGTACTGTATGACAGAGATATCCAGTAATAGATATAACATTGGCTTTTACAGCCAAGTTTCAGCTGGTAAAGTCAATAGTCTCAAATTGTTGGTGAAGCTTTATATTAAAAACAAGGTTGATTTTTTTTATTTTTATGTTTTACTTATTTTCCCATCTAAGAGAAACAAAGTTCAAAAGGGAAAAACATTCTGGTTGCTATATGTGATTGCATGGTCTAAGGCAGCTCAGTGCATCCCGACTTGATATTGTCTGTTGGTCTCTATGAGCTTCGGCCACAATTTGACAATTTCTCTACAAATGGACTCAAACTGGAAATATCTTTTCAGCTATATCTTAATGGCACATTTTTCCATTAAGATGAAAATTTTTTGGGTGGTTACTTACCATAACTGATGTTTGGGTCTGATGTAGAATTTAAGTTGTTCATCTTTATTCTCACTTGGTCTCTGGCATCATATGATGGTTAAGAAGAAATCGATAGAAGAAACACATTAAATGAGAAAGCATAAGGAAATAATAAACACAGAACAGACATGATATCTAGCTAATGGTCAACACTTTAGCAACAATATTGCTGATGGAATGAAAGAGTTCTTATAGATGCTCTTGGTTGCTATTGCTACTCTAAATGTTCTTCCAGGGGGGAGATTGACAAATTCCAATAACAGGAGGATGACCTGATACATCCACAGTTTGTCTTTAGTATGAACCAACCTGCATCCTTTGCTTAAAGCCAATGATCTTATTGGTCTAATACAGTCTGTTTTTATTCTTTACTCCCAAACATCCATTCCAAGTGAACATGCTAAACACACATGCTGCACAGCTTTTAAAGAATGTAATCTATGTTGTGCTATCAATCATACAGATTCAAATAGAACTATAGAACATAGAGCTAAGCTCATCATAGAATTTATTATTTAATCTAAAGAATATGGCGGAATATATTCCCTGTGTTGCGCAGCAGTATGTTGACTGTAGCCATGCTTTCTCTGGACAAGAAAGTGCTGCAAAGACAATAACTCCATGTGGTCAGTAGGACTTGCAATGAAGATCTGTTTGTTCTATGTCGCATAATATACTGCATTTGAATACATTTAGTTAGATATACAGTAGTATCAAATTCAGATGTAGGTAGTATATTTTTTGCCTGTGTATATGATTCTATTTGGCTCATTTAGAACTGCAACATGCCTGTGTAAATTCTCAGTCATCTGGGTGATGACAACCGCAAAACAGGTTTAAACCTGGAAAAAAAACTGACTTTTCTCTCAGTTTTTTTTTAAGACATTTCGACACCTATCAAGGAGTCTTTGTCAATATCGGAACTAACAAAGACTCCTGGATAAGTGTCAAAAAAGTCTTCAAAAACTCTGAGCAAAAGTCTGACGTCCATTTTAAGTCTGTTTTGTGTCTTTTATAAGCCTTTTATAAACACACAACTCAATGTTCTACTGCTTTTGGCACCATATTTATTTTGCACTGCAGTGAGCGTTTCCATTTTAATGCCCTTTTTGCACCATTATGTTTTTAAACTGGTTTTCTTTTATGCTACACTGATTACATTGATATCACTGCTGCACTTTATACTAGTAATGTTCATTTCACACTCGGTGTATACAGAATGAAAATAAAGTTTTTCTAAATCTAAATCTGATTTAGTAGTTACATTCTTCTGGATATTATTTGGGTTTGTTTGTCCTTAGATGGTGGTTATGAGTTGGTAAGTTCAAAAATTTAACCTAATAAATTCATTAGTTTCGTTTCACAATACATCAAAGATGTCAAAATATACAAATTTATTCATGAAGATAGACCGGATTGTATTGCATATTGTGTCAATCAATAATCCTGCATAGTTATGGATAGAAGTCAGAAATACGATCATGAATGTACAAAAGAGTGACTATGCTGTCTGATGTGTTGATTACAGGGATGATGAGGAGCAGTATTGGATAAAGCATGAGTGTCAAAACATCACCCACCTGTCGTGTGACCTGACCGCAGAAACCCCATCGGTCTATGATGTTCACTATAGGGCTAAAGTAATGGTTAATGGCACCTGCATGGGCATAACCAAGTCCTTTACACCTTTTAGAGAGAGTAAGTATCGCTTAACACGTCATGTCCTTGTGTACTTTTACCCAGTATGTACTCTGACAACATTCCCTTAATACTTTCATTTTGTTTCTATAGCTGTTCTTGGTCCACCACATTTGTCTTTACACACAACACCATCCACCCTGCATGTCAATGTCACCCTGCCACTTGGACCTAATGGAGTCTCGATTGCAGATATCATCACCTCTAGCAAAAAGGGCTTAATAAAAGCTGTGCCAGAGTACATCTTAACAATAACCACTCCAGAATGGGCTGCACAGGTTAGTTGACATTAAGAAAAAAACTATTTAAAAAAAATTGTTGCACTTTCAAAAGAACATTTCACATAATTTTAAACGGAATGAATTCAAGGTGAGTATTAAGTTAGAAGCTTAGGTATAAAATGGCTATTGAATTTAAAGAAGCATATTAGCTTTTTGTTCTTTGGTGTCAGTTCTTTGTTAATTGTAAATAAAAAAAAGTATATATATATATATATATATTCAAAACAAAAGAGTTAATACATTTCTCTTCATGGACCTCTACCATTTAATGATTTTCAAATACATTAAGGGATCGCTGAAACATTTTTTGTAGCATTTTAAACTGTCGGCATTACAACAGGATTACATTTTTAGTTTGGAAAAGCTTAAATCTGTACCATAGGATTCTCAGATATGACCGTATTGTCTTGCATCTGTTGTGATATCTATCTTTAAAGCAAACACCATGCTATCCAAGAATGTGATGTCAATTTGAGGTATTCTGCCTGTATAAATGAAATTAACATTTATGAGCTATTCCTACTGTGTCTCCAGGTCATCACAAACAAAACTGGCCAATTTGAAGTTATCTTAAAGTACAATCAGTCTAAATACTGCGGCCATGTGGTTTATTTACCGACTTCAGAATGGGGTAGGATACCCAGTGAGAAAGCACCATTCTGTGTTACTCTGCCAGGTGAGCAATATAATGATTATTAGTTCCTTATGTACGGGGATGAATATTCAGAATCATGATAAATATGTTTAAATAAATTTTAACAAAAAAAAAATAATTGTTTTGATTTACTTATAAATTCAAACATTTTTTTTTTTCAAAAATGCAATGAAAGTAGGAGCTACCCAACAATATTAACCAAAGCATGACATGAATAGAGGCAACAATGTCCTAATATCTCTAGAGTATCAGCTGCTCTGGAGATAATGCATGAATTTTTTCCCCAAATGTTACTTTAATCAGTTTGAGCCCATTTTCTCAAGTGATTGCAGCCACTTGAAAATAATAGTATTCAGTAATGAATTACACTGCTTTAAATGCATCTTTAGCAAACCTCAGCAATTCACATCACACATTAGCTTTCAATGACAGTAGCATGATAGCAGCTACTGTGAGAGCAGGTGCATTGTTTTAAAGTAGGATGTTGGTTATAAATCTGATATCCACATAGGAATCATTTTTAAGTATCACAAAGGTGCCTTTTTAAACCTACAATTTTTAAGATCTATACAAATCTATTTCTTCTATTATGGTGGGAATTATCTGTATGTTTCTGTAACTTATGCAAGACCTGTCAGATAACAATGAAGCTATTTCCTTAAGTATATATAAATACTTATGTGAGGCATAATGGGATTTTTTTCCCACCTACAGGTTTAAAATGAAAAGAACCTGTAGGAATCTTACTTTGGAGCCACAACGTTTTTTCCTCTGAAATGGCAGTAACAAAAACTTTCTCTTCCTTTAGATAACCATCAGATACCTTTACAGTGGGTTCTCCTAAGTATTGGTGTTCTGGTAGCCATTATCATACTATCAGCTGTTTGTATTTGGAGCTATGTAAAGGATGGAAACATAAGGAGCATTCCAGAGGCATTGGTAAGTCCATACTGTTGTCTAAGTGCTTCCTTAATGCAACCAGGAAATATTTTGTTACGGGAATACCAGGCCCTTGAGACATAATCACAGACAGGTTATATTGTTTAATTACGTAAAAGAGAGACTGACCTGGTTATCAAGGTGCTTTCTACTGTGAATACTTTATGCACATACATTTTTTTCTTTATGTAAAGATTTTATTGCAATTAATAAAGCTTTTCTCGCTATATTCAAAACAGGTAATCCCCACCAAGCAATGCAAAGTTTTGCAGCATCAAGACAAGAATCTCAGAATTTCTGAAGTTTCTGTTGGCATACACTGGGTCCAAAACCAGATCCAAGACCAGAAGAAGATAAACCTGCAGATTTGCCGTGCTTCATGTGATTTGCCGTGTGGATATTCTCCTCAGGTTGACCCAGAGCACATCTTCCAGTGCAACCCTGAAACAAGTGCAGAGTCTTCTGGGAGTTATGGTGCTGTTGCAGTTCAGACCCTGGTTGAAGCGAATGAAGGAAACCTTAAGCGGGATCACATTGTGAAGAGACAAACGATCCAGGCTACTTTGCCCTGCGGTCAAGAAGAAAAAAAGGAGAAAGGAGGAATTATTCCCCAAACTTCCTCATATGGTGCACCACAACTGCCGAACTTTAATGGAAGTGAGGGTACACCAGAGCAGCAGCCGTTGGTGATAAATGCTGTAAGAAACATTGATGGACAACTTATGTTGGCTCTATCTGCATTTCAATTACAGACCAGCCCTTGTGGCATAGAATTGCAAATGAACACAGAGAGGAAACCTCTTTTGGAAGATGTCATATTCCAGAACGAGCCCATGTTTACACCTTTAGAAAGACAATACAGCGATGAGAGGGATTCTGGCTGTTATGACAGCAATTTAAATACACCTACCAGCCCATTCTGCAACCCTATTTACTCCTCTTCTGAAACCATGCATCCTAGTTTACAGCAACAATGCCAGACCATGCAACCTGTTGATGCCATTTGTCATTCAGGATACAAACAAAACGGGTTGTCTGCATTCCTAACTGGACTCACTGACATTCACTGATATTCAAAACTATAGGTTGACAAAAAGAAAAACTGATGAGGACATTAAGAGCTGTGAAAGCTAGCTTCAAAGAGGAAATTAAAAAGGTTCTGTAACAGACGGAATATTCAAATCCAAGATTTGTGCTGTTTATACTCAAGGCTAAAAAAGCCTTTCACAACAATATCCATGAGGAGCATTTTTTTTGTTCCATTTTTTTTTTTTTTTTTTTTTTTTTGCCAAAACAAGAGAAAGGCAAAGTTGACCACAGGACTAATATCTGACTTTACAAAGCCAGAAATGCTGATGGTTAGGTAAAGGCAGATGTGGAAGTAATCTTGTACTGTATGTAAATGCTCATGTCTTTATGTGAGAAGTTATGCTTTGCAGTGTTTCCCCTTATTTTGTATATAACAGGTGAACAACAAATCACAAGATAAACAAGTAATGGCAAAAAAAAAAAAATAATGCAGTGTTCATGAATATAATTGGGAGCCATCACCAAAACTACATAAATAGATACATTAATGGATTTGATGAATTATTAATAATTTACTAACTTAGATTCATATCAGGTTCGATGCCTGTTTTGCCATGTTTGAAAATTATAAAAACCTACTTTAACATTCAGTATATTTAGCATTTAAACAATTTCTCAATTAACTAAGTGTTTGCAAAGCTGTTTGGTGATGTGTAACAATTCAAATCCAAAAATTAGGTAAAAATCATCTCATCTTATTGCCCATTTTTACACAAACTACTTGTTCCCCCATTTGAGAGTTGTGGTTTAATTTGTTAGATTGTTAAATATATACATGAATATTAGGACATCATTTTGTCCTAATGGATCATAGATAGTAAAACTGAAACAAAAAGGACCTCATTAAGGAGGTAGCATTGTGTGTTCTCTTGCATTAAATGAAAGCAAATAGTGCAACAAGCTCAGTTGACATGGTAAAATGCAAAGTCTCCTTGCATACAGTATGTCTGGCAAGAAAATTCTTCCCTTACTATATGTCCAAAATAATCTGATTTTAAATGACCCATGTTCCCAAACAGACACAATTGGACTCTTAAAATAAAAATTTCTGTAATACATTCAGCTACCAGTTATCAGTTGAAATATAACGCGCTGAAAGGTCACATAGCTGTATGAAAACATCTTTTTAAATGCTTCTTACATGTCTGAGGTTTCCTCTGATGTCATAAAAAAAAATCACTTTACCTGCTATGAAAATAGTTGCTTTTAAAGTTCAGGTTGGAAACAATAACTGTTCAAAAACACTTGATTTTTAGTGACTGGCTTATCACCAATCCAGAGTAGGTTATGACTAAAAGCATTCAGTTTTCGCTCAGTAGACTTTTTCTTAGTGCATCTTTGATACATGCTGCTATTTATTCATTGAATTTAATGCATGTAACTGGTTGTCATTATATTGCAACATTAGGCTTAAATTTTAGGTCTGAAAACAAACCTCATTGTGCAATAGTTTACTTATTCACCTTTAGCATTTTAAAATAAGAGGAAGGAAGTTGAATTCATGTTTAAACGCATTCTTCCCATCATATTTCAGTATTATCTCTAATGTAGGAAACTCATACATGAGTTTCTAAATCTATCTCTAATTAAAAAAAAGTGTTAAAGACTCATTTTTATATTATCACTGTTTGATGTTCTTTTAGGAGTAGGGAAAAACCTGTCCTGTCATAAAATGATATTACCAGGTTGGGTCACGGTACAGTTTAAGCCACACTAATAAACGCTTGGCTTTTAAAAGCTTGAGTGTACACTTTTTATATACAGCTGTAAAGCCATAATGTCAGGCGTGTTCAGAGTGTTATGAGTAACTATGTACAAAGCAATGCAAATGTACAGCATATCTGTTCCTGTGCAAATTAATGTAATGTGGATTTCTGCTGAATATTTACTTTGTGATGTTTAAATATTGAGTCTACGCTGTGAATACAATAACAGCAAGTGATCTTATGTTATGAAAACTTATCTTTAAATAAATGAGATTGTAAGTTGTGGACAACAATAAGATATAAATACAGCTTTGTGTATAAGGTGTCCAAGTAGCAGGCTAAAGTATCAAGAGCATGGAGGTCGTTAAATGATCTCTCAGTTCTCTGGGGTAAAAAGAATTTCCAGACTATTAAACTTTAAGTGTGTAACATCATAAAAGTGCTTACATTTGTCTAACGATAAGGACTGTGAAAAATTATCCAAAGGGTATGAAGTTCAACTCATCATCCTTTTAAGAAATAAGGGTTTGGAATCAATGAGGATTTTAAAAGCCGTCCAAAGACAATCCTGGTGTTATTTTCATACTACATAAAGTTCACTGGAACCAAGTAATTAAAATTTATGATTAATATAATTTTCCCTTGGATGACAACATCAAGCATGACGAACTAGAAAAGTTTCCTATATTTAAAGTGGATAAACAAGCCTTATTGGTGGGATTTTTTTTCCCACAGTTTGTCAAAGCATTACTCCAATTTCAGGTTGAATAACTATTGTTTAGTTTGGTATTCAGTTGCTACCGAGTACCCAGATTAGAAATCTTATATTTCAAGTTTGACCTCTTTACAGATAAAGAAAAACAAGTCTTAGATTCCATCGATTGTACTTTTGATTGTTACAGCAACACCACCGGCCTCACCCATTGTGAAAATATTCAGCCAATTAGGTCTCACTCTAGATTTGAACGTTTGAACAATTTAAAGGTCCTGGCACCTTCAAATACTTAACTTTTTTGCCTGGCTCAACTTAATTATATTAAATTATCAAGGGCCTTTTGTCTAACAGTTTAAACTTCTTAAGATAAGTGTTAACAAAATGATAAGAACTGAGTTTTATTCACTTAAAATCTTATAGTACACTGAATGATAGGTCTTACAGTGCCGGTTGAAATAAAGATATGTTTAATACTGAAATATAGTGGGAGAGATAATTTTAGTGTGTGAAAGTATTTACTTGGAAGAAAGTAAATTAATGTGCAGGGACTAGGTAAGATAAAATATTTAATAAAGAAAGGACTGAAACAATAAAGAGGAAAAGGCAAACAACATGTGAGATGTTACTAATCATCCTAACAAACCACTGCAAAGAAAACAGAAGAAATTCTTATAGAAAGGTATATTTCTGTCCCAAGTGTCTTACAACAGCAGGAAGAGTCAAATTGTTTTGTTTTTTACCCTGACCTTTGAATCTGTGTCTTTTTCTTATCTTTGGGAAAAGGGAAAAAAAGTCTTTTTTGGCTACCGGCTCTGACATGTTCTATTCTTTTTGTCTGGAAGAAAACCCATCAATCTTTTCTTTCAAATCTCCCAGTCATGGCGATATGAAAGAGGAGATTTTAGAGAAAACCCTCTTGAATGCCGGAGTCATTATCAAACTCTGGAAAGGGAATGGCTGTTTGAATGAACCTAGTTTTACCTACACAAACAGAATTTCAATCACTGCTGCGGGTGTTTGCCTGGCCCAGATCAATTAACTTGTTGATAGACCGAGCATGGCCACTTCAACCCTTTCTTTCACAAGCAGGATTTGGATAAGATGAAACTAAGTTCGATCTCTGAGAAAGGAATAAAATCATTTTGAGAAGTACCAGAATAAGATAGAGGCTGGTGGAAAACAAAGAAATGCTTTTTTTTTTAATTCTTCTTCCGTATTAAAAGCCAGAGCTGTGATGCATTCTTTCAAGAATTTTTATCATGCATTATTTAATCTTTTCAGACAAAATTGTATTATAGCAAATGTTTGCAGTTGTAGCCTGTCACTCTGTAGTTTTTTTCAGATGTATAGTTTATATAATATGAATTTAGAGTGATAAAGTTAATGTCTTAAGACATCCATTAAATGATAGTAAGCAATACCAATGACCATGTTACCTGAGACAAGATACCATGCCTAAGTGCCCTTTCTGTGGTTTCAAGCATTCCTTTGCTTCTATTTCCAAGATAATTTTTTGTTTGAAAACCCTCTTAGTTGATTTGATAATGAAAGGAAAAGTTCTACTTCGTGAACACACAACAAGGCAAACTTCCTTGTAATTCAATACAGTGGTTCCAAATAAGCCCTGCGACAGAGTGGCGCCCAGTCCTGGTACACCTCGCCTCTCCATGGATGGATGGATGGATGGTTCCATTGTATTGTGAGCTATGGGGAAACACTTTTAAAACTAGTTAGAAAAAAAACTGGAACAGTTTGACCTCTATAATTTAAGATAAAATATTTGTGATTATTTGATAAAAAATCAAATGTCTAAACATTTTAACTAATTTATCATAATTCACCAAGCTTTTTATACAAGAAAACGTGAAAAATAATTTAAAAAATAGCTAAATATATCTATATTTTGTGCCTAGTGCCATAAGAATGAATCAAAATAAATTGGTTTGTTAAGGTAAAGCAATGCGTTACTTTATGGATGACGGTAATAGACTCACCCTTAATACCTCAGGTCTCCGTATCTTGTTGGGGTTTTATGGCTGATACACCTCTTCATTATTGTATGGCGGTTGGGGACAGTGTCCCTCAACTTACAGACTGGGATGGTGATTATTCTCCATAAGGAGGGGAACCAGGGGGTGTGTCCCAACTATATGAGGATCATACTTCTCAGCTTCAGCGGGAAGGCTTTGGCCAAGGTGTTGAAGATGAGAGTCTGGCTGATTGTTGAATCTCAGCATCAAGGGGGGCAGTGCGGTTTTCAACTTGCCCATGAAACGCTGGAATAGCTCCACAGGCATTAACCATCTCTCTCATGGTGCACTGTAGGGGGTACTCCAGAAATCCTGAGAAATCCAGTTGCTGTAGAAGCAGAGCAGGAGTTTGGTCTGCATTCCTGGCATTAAAAGACCCATTCCCAGTTGCAGCGGTGATCATGGTGGCGCCTCACGGCTATGGCCAGGAGCAGCTCTCGACAATTCCACAACGTATGCCGTTCAAAATACAGCCACTCTTGACCGTTTAAAAAGCTGCAGAGTGCTACGGACGGATGTAAACAGAACAACAGCAGGCTCCCTTACCAAGCCAGGCCTTTTAATGTTTACATTCACTGCTGAACTTTAGAAATGAAAATGTCCTGAGAGCTGTATTGAACAAAATTTTGTTTTGTTTACACCCTGTGTGTACAAAAATGACAATAATGTTAATCTAAGTCATATGGACTACAACCTTAATGGACAAAACCTTGCAATTTTACTAACATTCGAAAACATTAAAAAAAAGCTTTTTCCACATATAAAAAAATACGAAAATATTTTTTTTTATCACCTTTAATACCAATTAATTAAACAAATTTAAGATAGTAGCTGCCAGTTATACTGAGCATCATATTTCAGATTCCATCAAAGCGCTGATGACATAGCACAGACTGAAATAGAAATGGGTAGATTTTAATAGGGACATCAGGTTAAGGGGATTTTTCTCAGCGACAAATAAATCCTAACCAGCAGCCGGTTATACAGATAAATGATGAGGTTGACTTCTCCCTCGAACCAAATCATTTTATAAATTAAAGTCTACAGTACATGCAATCACTTTGCTACCCTCCTATTTCTGTCTTGCATTCTATTAAAATCTTAATGGGCCTTGATTAGACAAAAGGCATAGAAACAGCTGTCAAAGCTAGCCAACAAAAAATCTGATGGGCTCTGAGAATTATGAATCCATTAAGGGTATTTCTGGGCGTCATTGCTAGTGAGAGGATAGAAAAGTTAAATGAAATCATATTTAGTCTGAACAAGGTCAGTTTTCCTGAGAGGAGACCTAATTGAATCAAACAAGCACAGAGTGAAGATTAAGTCTTTATTCCTATGTAACATAGCCTTTGAATTTGCACTGTGTGCTTTGTGGTAACCATGTTTTTTACTCAAAGGCATGGATTATAAACAGTAATCATAAAAAAAATAAATAAATATTTAAATGTCATGGAGTAAACGAATAAGCATTTTTCATGTTTCAAGGAAAATAGAAATTAAAATCAATTAAATTTTATTACATGATTTTTCCTAACCTTGCATAAGCCTGTTAAGTTTGTTTAGTTCCTAAAGAAACTAATGTCTGCTAGTCATGTTAATTCTGTAATTTCACAAACTATTGTATCAAAAGTCTTGGATCATCAAGATATCTTCTGGAAAATAGGATGAAAACCTTAAGCCTTTTCCTTTTTGCATAGCAGGGGTTCTGTTTTAGGTTGTGTTGTCTTTGACTGTTTTTTTTTTCTGTTGTTTAAAAAAAAAAATCAAGTATGATAGAAATGCAAAGAAATAAGTTATCAGGAAGGGAACAAACACTTTCACACCACTGTATAAAGTAGATGAACAAAGAAAAGCAAAGTAACACTAAAAGCATTACAAGTAGCCCCCTAACCATGTTGAAATACTTGGAAATCCATAAAGAACCCAAATGGAGAGGAAAATGGAAATTAGCCATAAGAATATAATTCATCCATGTGTGGCTTGAGTACCTGAGAAACGATATTACGGTCCATTTTCCACCCAACAAGTCAGAGAATTGTTCGCCCCAGGAATCCAAGAGTCAAGCAAAAAATTTGCTTAGCTATACAATGCAAAGAGTTGTAGATTGTTTAGACATACAGTTGTATACTGACTAAACAAAATAAAAAGCTCCAAAAAGACACCGCAAAACACAGGACACATGAAGAAAAGATTCCACTGTTCATCCAAAAGGTCAACAAACATGGACTTACATTCAAGGGGAGGTAATGAATTTAAAACCCAGAACAGAGTGGACTTAAGCCTCTAATAATGTCTTTATACCGTCATGTCAGGAATGAATAATAATCTAAACCAATATTTAATAACTTCTCTTGTTAATAAAAAAAAAACAGAATTCAGGAGAAAAAAAACTTAAACATTTAACACGGGCATATAAGGCAAAATACTTCTTCATCAAACTGGCTTTGCTCTTTGGTCACATCTGCCTCAATATTCTCCAAAGTCTCTATAGCACAAGCAGAAACCAAAGCTACACTTGAGACAGAGTTTGAAGGAGCCTGGTTTCATACTTTTTTTCATCACTTCGTCATTTGTGAGGACTAGATAGTTTCTTGACAATCCAGTTAGACAAGTCTTAGGTTTGCGTAAAGGAATGTTAGCCTGTTCACCTTGTTGCTTAGTCAGAGATGTTACTACTGTATGAGGCCAGGTTTCACGAGAAAAACGAACTCTTCATTACCAGGTATTGTATCTGAAATTGCAGATGCTACTGAAGTGGGATTTTACTAAAATAGTCTTGAGATTTCCACTGGCAAACCTTAGTGGTCCAATTTTTGTCCCTTATGCTTTACCACAGCATCAAGCCTCCTGCCTCTCCCCCTTTTGTTGTTTGGTGCATGGATTTATCTCAGTTAATAAAATTGTATTTTGCTACACTTGTTTTTGCTTATACTTTTTGACCTGTTTTGAACTATCTAACATATTTGATGTATTAATTTTTAATAAAAAATCAAAAGCAATAATTGAACAAGCAAATGGTGTATGCATACTGTAGAGATACAGTAAGATGCCTGAATTCCCATGAAGGATGTCTGACTGCAAAAGTACTTTCTGTCAGTCTGTTTGTTTGGATTATGTTGGTGACGTAAATTCTAATGGATCTTTGGATCTATATCTGGACAGCTGATTTATCTCTCCTAAGGTTTGCGGTCATGGATGTTTTTTATGTTAAACTATACTGTTTTTAGTAATGAGTTATGTTAGGATCAAACGATGCCCCTAAAAAAAAGCTATTTATGGATGATAACTAAATTCTGATTTTCTCTAGTTTAGACACATTAAAAAAAAAAAACAAGTCTGGGGTAAATTATCACATGAGGAGTCAAAATCTCCGATCTCCTTTTAAAGAACAAAACAGTGCAAAGGCGTGTCTCAGCTGTTTTGTCTTAGTTATTTTTAGACAAACACTCATGCCAATGAATGACGAAAAGAAAGGACGGAGCAACCTGAGCTGGTATTGTTTGCTGATGTTCCAAAGTCAACTGTGTCACCTAAAAATAATCTTAAAAATAACATCTGTGGCCTTAAATTTATCCTGTCTATTTGCAGAGCGGGTGTGTGTCTGGTTGTTATCTATCAAATCAAAAATGTTCACTTTATGCATGATAAGAAAAAAAAATCTTGCAACCATAACACAGAATTAAAACCTTTAAATTAAAAAAACAATTAAAAAACAAATCATTGTTAACAGGCCACGAACTGAAAAAAGGTGTGATAAAGAATACTGACTGAAATCTAATCACATACACCAAAACCTACCCCAAGGCCTCCTTTTATATAACTCTGAAACACAGAGTATGAATGCTTGTTTAACTTCCTAACAAATAGTACAGGAGCAGTCCTTCCATTCTGCAAGTCACAAGCACAGATATTGTAATGATTTCATTTAACCATGTTGTGCAGGACTAGTAGCATAATGAATAGTGGGAAGAAAAGGAAAGGTGAGATCTGAATGCACTTTGTCAAATTTAATTGAAAATATATTCCTTATTTTGGGGGGTTTTTTGCTAACATTTCAACATGTGAGACATTTTAGACACAACCATTGTAGAACTTCAAGCATTGTCACTATACTAATGCCAATCCTTGATTTTTAAATGAAAAATGCTTGACCTTTTCCAATTGTCATTTTTGCCTTTTATCATACCATCTCTGTTTCACAATTTTTCTCTTTTTTGCAGTCTCCATCCAAGCAGTCTGCTCCTATGTTTAGTATTTCCACATTCACACCAAGGTGGGATTGTGCCAAAAGAGATGAAAACAATATCTAGTTTGTTGAGAGGGATTTACAGGTAAGCCTTTTTTTTTTATTTCTTTTTGTATTACACTGGAAGCAGTTGTGCCATTGCTCGTTGTCTCCTTGGTGCTTGTCTGAGGAGATATCTCTAAGTCCCTACGGCTAACAGCAATAATCTCTGAATATGCCTGCAGTTGTGACTTTGGGGGTCCATTTAGGAAGCAGTGTAGCCTAGGTTGAAGGTATTTATGGGTAGGAGAGGATGTCATCAGTCTATATTTAACAACTTAAGAATGAAGGAGCATTGTGTGGTCCACATACTTGGCACAAGAGGACACTTTGTGTTCAGGGTCATCCACATTGCTTAAACAACGGACATAGGAGACAGAGAGGGGCACAAGGACAGTGAGTGGTATAGAAAAGAAGGAAGACACCAAGACTGAACATCTTTAAGGTGAGTTAGACAGGCAGCTGGAAAAGGAAGTGGGATATTTTTGTCCTACGATTCATTGACAGCCAGAAGACCTCATCTATTTTCCCTTTGAAGAAAGGGTAAGTTGCATCAGGTTACTTTTCCTAGAAATACTAAAAACAGTATGCTGTTCCAAGAAAGACAGGATATAAATGCATTTCAGTCCACAAAAACTGTAAATCTGTGCAAATTGCATTCCGCTGTCAACACATCTGCAGAGGGCTGTTAATTAGCCGGTCTTCACAAAGTGGGGGGAAGCCTCTTTCCTCATGCAGTTCTCTTGAGTGCAGCTTCTTCAGCTTGTTGAACTTCTTAATGGTCTAATCTTTTCATGGCCTCAGTGGATATAGCTTTAAATTACTCTCTAGGGATGACGTGAAGCAAGTTCTCACTTTTTTCAGACATTGCTTACTTTGTCAAACAGAACAGAGGAGTCACCAAATATCTCCGCTTCTACATTGCTGAATATGAGTTTGGGGAGAATTTCACTCAGAAAGTATACTGTGCTTTTGCGGTTTCCCTCCAGGCACCCAGTATCAAGGCCTACCTACAGAGTATGTCAGCCTGCCTTTGATTGTACTCAAACCAACCTCTTCCTTTGTATCACACCGTCACAAATAAAAGAACTAACCAAAATACAGAAACATGGGAACCAGCTGACCCACCTGTTATCTAACCTTACAATGTTTTCCACAGAGTAATTGAAGAAGATGAGAAGAAATAACACATTATGCTGCAAACACAGGTGCTTTCTGTTGGAATAGTTGAATGAAGCCATCACTCAGGCGCGACCTGATTCTGTTTGTTGGGCACATTCTGCTTTCTCTTCCCCAGAGCAGCCCTGTGATTAATGACAGGCAGGGTGCGGGCAGCGGCATGCCAAACCTTAGCTGATGGATTATTAGGGGCTCGGCAGTCTACAAAAGGTTGATTCATTTAACATGGGACTCCACACACCTTTTTAAGACATCAAAACTTGAACCACAATTAGATTTTTTTTCTTGCAGTTATTATTTTTTTTGTTTTTCCATTTAGCTTGTAAAAAAATACTTTGTTTTTTAAATAGCTGACATATCATAACATTACAAGAGAAGAAAAGGAAATAACTATAAATAAGTTGAATCTTATTTTCCGACCTAAAATTTAATTGAATCTTATTTTCCAATGACACTGGTATTTTTCCACCCATGCCCATTTCAACCCTTTGGCATGTTATTCAAGCAGCATTTAAAAAAAACTGCACAATGAGGTGGATATGCCTTTAACTAAACTATAACTAAACTGGTCCATGCTCTTGGACTGGTCCATGCTCTCCTACTCCATTGTTGATGTGGCCGTTTGTAGCTGTGGACGTAAAGCCGGGCATACACTGTGTGATATTTTCAATCGTTGCACACAGCCAAAGCTCACACTATATGACAAAACCGCAGGATTTAAATGTTAACAGCTCACGATATATGTTCTCACACTGTGCGACCCAACCCTCTGAGGCGATCTACCTGCTCACACTGTATATCTAAAAACCACATTGGACTCAGCTCCGCAGTGACATGGCGCTACTCTGACTCATCTGTCCGCAAGCCAAATGAGTAGAAGAGGAATATGAAGCTCACTAGAGTGAAACATGCTGCCTTGGCAGTTGGTGCAATTTTGTTTGGTGAAAGCCCTAAAAAGAAAAGGCGACAACGTATTTGGACAAAGACATGGCTGAGCAAACGTGGCCATTTCACTCGCACCCCTGCCATGCTTCTGCATTTTGTTTGAGAGGAAGGCCGACTAAATCTCTCAAACATGTTAGATTTTGTCCCGACCTCAGGATTCCTGATTGGGAGGTGACCGTGAGTGGAGGATTGCCCCTCGTTAGCCCCTCTGTACTGCACAACACACAATCAGGCTGAAAGTTGGCCCGATCGAAAAATTCTCGCACACTGGGGGGAAAAAATTATGCAGTCCATGCCTGGCTTAAGGTCTCTGGTGCCTGAATGGCGGCAATCCCCAAACCCGGTGTTGGCACCCGGATGTAAGAGATGCCTTCAAGCTGAAGAAGGAGACCTATCTGGTCATGTTAGCTAGTAGGACTCTGGAGTCTGGAGCAATGGCAAATACAGCCAGCACATCTAAATACAATATTAATAGTTGTGATATTTTTATGATTTAACTTTGAGATTTGCAGCTCTATATTTTCCTATTTGTTGAACCAAACAGACAATACCATCAAAATTAAAGAAAAGATATGGATGGATAGATTCATACTGAAATGATGAATACTATACTGATTATGCTTGGTTAAAAGAAAGTTGAACATATTTAAAATAAAGATGCAAGAAAAGCCCAGATACTTTTTGGTGAGCTAAAGTACTTTCAAATTCATCTTAGTGAGATACCCATTGTATCCTACCTGGCACCCACTCATCTACATCTCCCATCCAACCACAGGTGCCATAACCAGAGGTTTACCATGGAAACCAAGATGGTAACAAAGTTTGAGCAAGAGGAGCAGTCATCCAAGATGTCTCAAGGCATGCAGCTTTCTTCTCAGATAAAGAAGCGGACCTTCACTTCCAGGTGAAAAGCTTGTATCAAGATGATTCTTAGACAAAAAAAAAAAAATGGTTCACCTCCAGGATTTCTTATTTTGTTTTGTTAATGCATGCTGTGTCAAAATGATATAGTGAGATCTGCTAAAATAAACATTATTTACTGTAAAGTCAAATTAAACAAAAAACAGGGCAAATATGTAGTCATGCTTAATGTATCCTCAAAGGTTGGTAGTAACTTGTTACATTTACATGATTGACTTTTGGAAAAGAAACTTACTTTTAGGAGTCGTTGTACCTCACCACATGTTTATGTTTAACTGAGTAATAATCTTGTGAGGCCTCTTGTGAGGCTAATTAAGATATATTTGATGAGTTCTTCATCCTTTCCCAACATAAAGGCATTACTTAATATAAAGATTGGTTTTATATGTTTATATTAATCAGTATTTGCAACTTTTTCTTCTGCCAAAATTTTTATATCTATTTCTAAAAAATTTTACCTTATTTTATGCTTTAAAATAGCAGAATTGGCACATAAGTGTTAGGCTAATTGCATACTTTTAAACATTAAATCAGATACTATGAGTGAACAATTACGCACAACTTGAGTAGCCATTTTACCAACTACTGTCGTTGGTCCAGGGAAATTTATTTTAGCTCAGTTAGATATTTCTTTTACAGATACTTTTAATATTTTTCTGAGTGTCAGCTAAGTTTTCTATTTATGCCAATTGATGGATGACGCGTCTCTCCTTGCTCTTAAATGGGGTAAAGGAAATATATGGTTATTTTAAACTATTTTAAAATTTTAAGTTCAATTCCTCTAACACCAAGTTTGTTACAGATCTAGTGTCAAAAAGTTCAAATCCTACGGAGCCCAATCTGCAATTTAAGAAGTGGAAATTGTAAGACTGGATAACAGGGATTAGAAACTTGCTCTACAAAAAAGCAAACCAATGTTGGATTCATTTTACTACCATTTTTGTTTGACTGTACTCAATACAAAAAATAAAACAAAGCAAAAAATAAATAAAAAATGCAAAGCCAAAAAAGTCTGGCAGCATTTATGCATACCACAGTTTCCTCTGTGTTTCCATAAGGATGTAGTATCTGACTGTGACAGTATTTAATTTACAGTACTCAGTTTTTCTCATCATGAATTACACCCTGCACAATGAAAAGTCTTCCTTTCAAATGACATGATGATCTTCATATCAGTGCAGGTACTGTATAGTAAACCTATCCACACATTATCTAGCTAATAATCAGAAAGATGTTATAAATCCAGCACAATTGTGGACTCGAAGGATCCCACTGAGATTCAGCAGAAATCCTTCACTGTGCCATGAGACACTTAAATCAAATTTGCTTCATTTTCAAAGCCTTTACTTCTATAAGTTATTAAGTTAGGCTAACCTAAGGGCCCACAATCTCCACTAGGAGAATAAAGGAGCAATGGACCCACGTTCCTGCCTAGAGTGGATAAAAATATGTAATTATTCCATAAAGCTTAGTTAAGCTTGAACTTGGGGGACATATTCCTCTTAATGTAAAAATGAATTTTTAAGGAGAGAAGATGCTTTGTAATTTTTCCACTACAACATCGTTACTTGGAGTACACATTTTATGTTGATGTTACAACAACTGGGTGAGAGGTTTAAATAAAAAAATGTTATCAAAAAGGAACAAAAAACTAATTTACGAGTACTCTATACTTTTCACTGCTTTACAAATTGTTCTGTAATGCAGGCTGACATGAAAACAACAATGAGTGCAGATTGTCCTGTACCCGTCACTTTTTCCTCTTTGTATTTCCTCCTGTCAATGTTTTTAGGAACAAGTTATTGTTAATAAACACATGACTTCACATCCCTAAACCTTTTGTACACAGGTAAAGTCATACGCCAGCTTTACTCGATGCACCTGTGTGTTTATATGCCATGCTCTGTGGGTCTCCCTCTATGTGTATCTAACTGTGGCTATAGCCCGGCCCCAGGCTTTGCACCACTCTCAGAGGGAAGAGTTAAAAAAAGGGAGGAAAAGCAGAAGTTGTTTTCAGAGAACCATGAAATGGGGAAATTTCTGTGTTGGCAAACAAAAGAAAACGAGAAGTCAAATCAATTTGCATTGCAATTCGTAAGATGGCTTGTGTAAAATGATACCTGAGGGTAGATGCTGTATTAGCAGCAACGGTAGATGGGGGTTAGATATACACCTGAGTAAATATACACATCTAGCACATAAACTTTGTATTCTTTAGTAAGTGCAGGAGGATTTTTACTATACTTTCTTTCAACATTGAGCTTATTTAACCATGAAAAAAACCCCCAGAAACTTTAAGCACCCATATGTCCATTTGCAGAGATGGGGGTCCAACACTCATCTCTGAAAACAGTGCAGAGGATTAATGTTGCTGGAAATGCTTTGGCTCTCTTAATAGACAGTCTATTGTTGGAGAGAACAACTGGTTGTGTTTTTAGTTAATCCCTCTCATCGACATGTGAAGAGCCTGGTATTTTTTGTTTGTTTCATCATGTTAAGGTGATAGTCTGATAGACATGCAAGAACAATTAACAGCTGACAACAGAGCAGTGAAGTAGCTGGAAAGCTACAAAAAAATGTTTGTACAAAAAAAGCACTAATCAATTATCACCACTTTGCTGCAAATTAAATGTCAAAAAGATCCAAAACCCTTGTGTTTATAGCCCTCATTCTTGGTATATGAGTTAACTTACAACCGTAACCACAGTTCCTCATGATTGCAAAAGCTCCCTGAAGACAATGGCATGTGTGTTTGAATAGCAGGGAAGAAAAGGGAAACAGTCACAGAGCTGAAGCAGCTGATAATGGTGATAACATTTCTCACACTCAAGTAAAACAAGTCATTCTGTTTTGCAGAACATACAGTACTGTAATGCACCAGGTGAAATACCCTTTCATACAAACATTAACTGCTTGTTTTTAGAACTAGATTCTCTTTGCAGGGCGGTCAAGTTCCTCACACCAAACTCTGCTCACATGCAGCCATTACTGTCATTGGAATATTCAAATTGAATTATTTGATACTATAACTCAATATGGCACAATGCTCGCTTTTTCTTCAAGAGGTTATTCACCACCATCGTAATGGCTTTGTTTGCCTCTCTCAAAAATAGTTAGGTACGTACTGTAAGGGAATATTTCATTAATAACATGCCATTTAGTCAAACTTTGTTCTAAACTTGCTTGATATATAAACATAATTGTGCAGAAACCTTGTATCATAGGCTTGTGAAGGTTTTAGTTCATTACCACATACATGACCATTTAGTCCTAGTTTATTACTTCCGTTAAGGAGGTTATGTTTGTACAAGAGTTTGTGTATGTCTGTCTGCCTGTCTGTGTACAAGATAACTTGAAAAGCTTTAATTAAATTTTTACGAGAGGTGTGCCTCATGCTAAGGAACAACCCATTACGTTTTGATGATGATTAAGACCATAATCTGGATACAGGACTTTTTTTTTTAGGATTCTTTAACTTTGTGAGATAGGGATTTATGGAGGAAGCAAGCAGCCCCCCTCCCCCCAAACCAGAGGGTGGCAGCAGCAACTATTGACATCTTTAACATTACTCTAAAAGTCATGATATAGATGTGCGAGTTTTAGTTGTAGTGCTTGGAGTGCTTTTGTATCTAACTAAACCCAAGGTTAATGTTTCATCTAGAAAAAAAGACCAACAATAATTAAGATGAATAAATAAAATGTTCAATTATGAAAACAAATGTGAACACAGACAAAATGTTTTGTTTTTGACAAATAAAATCCACCTTGTTCAGGTTTAGCAAAGCGTAAAATCAATTTATTTAAAATAAAGGGTTAAATAAGTTTTTCATAGCTGTTTCTGACAACTGCAACAGGAGTTTATTTCAAAAGACTAAAAACTGTTCAACTGAAAAAAATATATATAGATTATTGAGGCCCTAAAACACTTATTGCACTAAATTAACAATACCTAAAATTTAAGTTGTGGGAAAATGAAACAAAACAAATGTCTAAAAATAGCAGATAGGGGATAACCGCTAATCCATTAATGCTGATGACGTGTAGACCGTAAATAATATGTTTCATTTAGTTATGCCTTAAGCACTGAACATTTTAAGGTCATTTTTACAAAACACTACATTTAATGTAAAATGCAGCTGAATTTGAATCAAAAAATTCAATGTAATATTTCTAGATTACTGCATACTTAAAAAAGATGAACCTTTACAAACATACAACCCAAATTTAGGGCTAACCCTGGAGGAGTTGCAGAACAATGAGATGTTAACCAATACCACTATTGTGTAATTTCAAATATGGTTTTAGTTTTCATCTGCTCAAAACTCTAGACTGCTTTTATTGTTCAGCTTGTGTCATCTTTCACACTGTCACTGCCGCAGAACAGCAGGAAGGAAAAAAAATATTTACTGAGAACAATAGCCCTTCTGAAACAGGGCTTAGTAATATAAAACCTTATTTATATAACATTTACTAACGTTAAGCAGAATGTATCTTAGAGCATGATTTGTTCAACTGTTTTGAAAGTGAGTGAGTCAAGAATTTTCTCTTTCCACACATGGAATAATGGTTTTATAATGCGCAACAGTCAATTTAAATAAAACTGCAGATTATTTTCAACCCTCTATATCATAATTAGCACATAAATAACAGCAAGGACAGAAAAGAGCAGAGTGAATTGCTGTAATCTGTTGTGTCATTTGCTAATATACAAAATACATGTTAATTTACCATTCTTATTTCTCCCTCATATTCTGGATGTTTTAGTGATGAGGAAGCCTCCTACTCCAATTTTCAGCCCATCATCCCTGCTGATCTGATGTCTGTCAAAGAGATCCTGAACATGAAGAATGTATCCCGCCACAGGACTTGGTGAGAAAGATGTTCAGCCATGTTTTTGAAGATCTCACCCTAGAGTGACAGCATTTGCTCTGCTTCTGTGGACTGTATACACAGTAACTTTTTCCAGTTACTTTTACAACACAAAGGGTTGAAGGCCCTCCAGGTATTAACTTAAAAAAATTCATTTTCTTGCAACAGTTTTTTGTCTTGTCCTGGAAGAGAGACATTGTCCTCTCATTTATATTTTTTGTCATCAATCACTGCATGGATGCAGCATGGCATAAAAGACTGTAGCTCTATTAAGGAGGCTTTAACAGCTACATCCAGCCAGCTTATCTGCATTGTTGGGTTTGGTGTCTCTAATCCTTCCTTTAACAATACTTTATAGGTCCATTATGTGGTGTAGGTCTGGTGAGTTTGTTGGAATGTGACCCAATGGTTCATTTGATTGACCATCAATCAAATACTGCACTTTGGGCCATGTGGGCTGATGCTATGTACTGGTAGAACAACTGCACAATCAGAAGGCAACAGTGTGGGAGTTGGGGTGGTTCATGTTAGTGTTGGATACCAAACATAAGCAGCCAGCTTCTGCAGAAAATACCTTTTTTAAATACCGTCTAAGAGTGTCTCTTTTTTCTCTTTAAGGTTACAATTATGAGCATGAAAATGGATACTGTCCTTTAGTCATAGCATTATTTACCATTTGTCTGGTAGAAAATAACATTATTTTTCAAGCTGTGTGCTTTACAAATTTTGTTTTAAATTTCAGTTTCTAAAGTTTTTTTTTAATACTGTCAAGAACCGGGGACAGATGGACCCAGTATTCAAGGAGAGACACTCAGTAGGATAGTTCAAAACGTTTATTAAATAAACAAACAAAAGCGGAGCTGTGGCTCGCGGACACTGCAGGTGGGGGGGCGGGGCACCGCCCAATCTCAGACACTCTGTAGTGGGAGAAACACAGGTAAGTGACCACGATAATCTGACAGAAGATTATCTGAGTTGGTCACTTACCTGGTTTAACAGTCCAGACCAAGAATGTCCCCAAGTGCTGCAGTCCCAGAGGTCATGCTGGAAGCCGATCCTGGTCAGGGATCCATAACAGACAGGAACAGACAGGGACAGGATCCAGATCAGGCAGGAACAGAAACAGGTGGCAGGATCCAGACTTCCAGGCATCCACAGGCTCCCAGGAGGATTCAGAGTCTGACTGGGACCAGAAGCATGACCAGGTGGTCACGCACAGGAGCAGACAGGATCAGGTGCAGACAGGCAGGCTCAGTGGAAGAGGGTAGCCGAGACAGGACGTGGAACCGGAACTTGAAGCAGGACTTTAAACTTGTCTCCTCCCTGGAGCCAGGCTTACTGGATAAAAACTGAACCTCCTCACATATTGAGCCAAAACCCCAGAGGACTCTGCGGGGGAGGAACAGTGGACGATCAGGAGACGAAACAAACACAAAACCCTCTTTCCACTGGCTGCTAGGATCCAGGACACGAACCAAGGAACAAAACTAACAGACAGGCTAACAGAAAGACAAGTAATGATCTGGCTCTGAATGCTCAGGCTGAACTTAATATAACCAACAGGAAACAGGTGAGAGGAATAAATTATAATTGAGGCAGGGAGGGAAAAACGACAGGTGAAAGGAATGACTAATTAAGGGAGAGCAAACAGGCCAGATCATGACAAATACACCCTCGTTCCCTAAAGAAAACTTTGTGAATCCTGTCTTGTCATACTGAAGGACTCTGAGCAATTCAACCCCCTTTTGTAAATGTCCTTCCTAGATAATGTGTGAATGTCATAATGTTCTTCCCATGTATCAAATCATCACCATACCCTCCCCACTTTAAATAGCAAAGAAGTGAGGGTCAAGTTCAACTCACGTTTCCCTGCAAGTCAGTAGACTAAGAGCTTTTAAAGCCTCTTCCGACAGTGGGAATAAAGGAGTTTTTTCATGTCTCATTCATCCATGTCTATAAGGCCAGCTGGCTTCCTTCAGTTGCTGTTCTAAAGAATGTCACCCCAGCAATAAGCCTTAATCACTCAACTGAGTCATGCAGTGAAAGCTTTGTCTTTATTTTTATGCAGAGAAAAAAAAGAAGAAAGCATTTGCAAGAGAGTACAGAATTATATTACCTGGTTTACATATAAAGAAATACCAAAACTCTAAACTCTTTATAAACAAAAAATATAAAAAGTTTCATGTATTGTGATCCATTTACACAAAATAAATGGCATTATATTATACTAGAAAAACAAAGCACACTGCATTTTCTCCAAGTTTGATTCATTTTAAATATTTTTTTTTTTCCAATAGCTTTTAGGTTACGTGAGAGACTAAATTAAACTGATGTCAAATTATTATACTAGACTGGATAGAAGATGCAGAATTGTTTTTACAATTTTTTATTTAGTTTTATAATAGAGAAGGCCATTATTTATTTTCACTTCCTATTCTAAAAAAAAAGTAATTTAATTAATTGTCACTCCCTAATCAAACCATCACTGCCAAAGGTAGAGCTGCTTGTAATGAATGATTAATGTATTTTCAAACACTTGTTTGGCTGGAGACTTTAGAAAATATAAAATCCATTTCTGCTCATCAAACATGATTCGTGGTGGTCAATAATTTTCATGTCAAGGCAACATCAAATGATGTCAGAAGCGTAGCACAGCTTTAATCAGCCAAGAGAATAACAGGGGTGGTAGCAACGATTTGCTTGCGTCAAGATGGCCAGATAGAGCTTATAGGAAATGGCAGAGAATTGTGATTTCAGAGACAAAATGGGTGGACACAGTTGTGATTGCTTTGGTCATACGGTCAATTGGTTGTCTTAGAAATTCCAATTCATAGTAGACTTGATGCTGGGTCAGGTCATACGACAGGTATGATAACAGGAGGGGTGGCCAAGCAGATTAGCCACAAATGAGGGAAATCCCAGTGGAGATGCATGTGGCTACATCTCAGTTGAAGAGGGTTGGAACATCCTACACTAATAGCACTTTTGCATGCTCAAGGTGATACCACAAATTATGGTATGGTAGCACGTAGCATTATGATGAAAACAAGTATCCAGCTGCTAAAAGCTTTGCAAAAATTGTAATAAAAAAGGAGATTGGGCTTGTGTTTGCCTTACTTAAGTTGTCAGTGAACCCCAGGAAACAACTTACTATCAATAAGTAAAGTTACTAGCCCTGCAAACCCAGATAACAGGACTGTGACACTGAAAATGTTCCACTGATATTTAAAATAGATACTGGGGTGGATCACAGCTAAAGAAATGGTGTGCTTTTTCTTCTACTGATTTTGCCCGTTACTGCTTACTGATAATAAAAATTATTTTTTTAGAAAGCACCTCCTTGTTCTAGGAGAGATCAAGGTGGCATACAGGAAGAGGCTGGTAAACAATCTCCAGCAAAACAATATTAGAGTTTTGTGGTCAAGGATGAAGAAGATCACAGGCTTCAAGCAGAAGGATGATGAGACAATTGAAAGTCTGGACAGATTCTTCAATAGGTTCAACTCAGGAACAAGCTCAGCATCCCTCACTCTTGCCCACAGTCACATTGACATTTAGGCACAGAATTAAATATCTCTTCAGTGTTGAACTACAAGCTTATACGTGCGAGATGGTACTGCTATTAGCACATAGGACAGTAGTGAGAAGTTCAGTATGCATTCTTTGCCTGCTCTGTGAGTCAACTGTCACAGTTGCCAAACAAAAGAGCGTACACTGTCTGAAAGGCAGTGACTGCCGGATAAGGCTGGACCTGTTTGAATTGTGAATTTTAGCCAAATTTATCTGGCCTCCTTATTTTTACTGCCTTCAAAGGACCCAATCCAGGTAGGCTGGGTCTTTCGGAGTACGTCGAAATTGAACACAGCCATCCTGCCCTCCTCTGCCATTGACTCTCCTGATTCTATGAGTTTGTTTTCAGCCAAATCAGAAGATAGTGCTGCTCCCTCTGCATTTCATCTGTCTGTCTCTAGAATTCAGGTGAAGAGGCAAGTGGGGAGACTGAATTGTAATAAGTCGCCAGGTCCTGTTGGTGTCAGCACCAGAGTCCTTATGGCCTGTGCAGAGCAGCACTTTGGGATTCTAGAGTACTTCTTCAACCTTAGCCAAACCCAGGAGACAGTTTCAGGGAAATTGGAAGACCTCCTGCCTTGTTCCAGTCTCAAAAAAGACTCAGCCAACAGTCCTCAGTGACTATAGACCTGTTGCCCTGACATCCCACATCACAAAGGTTATGTGGAATTTCAGGTCTAGACAGACTTTTGTTGGTTCACCTCAGCAAACAAACAAGCAGCTGCCAGGACCCCTGCAGTTTACTTTTCGCTGTGGAGTTAGAGTTGATGATACCATTATACACCTGCTTCAACAAACCCACTGTCATTTAGACAAGACAGACAGCACTGCGAGGATCATGTTCTTTGATCAGGATCTCCAGTGCATTTAACAAAATTCAGCCTGAATTACTTTGTGAGAAACTTCAGAAGACTCGGGTAGCGGGGATCAAAGACTACCTGCAAACAGACCATGGTTTGTTGGATTTGTAGGACAAAAAGCTACAGAGTACAGAGAGCTACTGAAACGATTTGTGGCATGGTTTTTGAAAACCATGGGGTTTGGGTAGATGTGCTAAAAACACTTTGGAACAATCAGGATGAATGCTTTAAATCTTGTTATTTTGTGTTGTGATGCATCATGGAGTTGGATGTGTTTGACCAACTAGTTATCATCAACAGATTTTTTTCCCCTTAATCGGGACATAAATGGTTTCGTAAGGGATCATAATATATTCATTATTTTTTTGAAAACTTACAATGAAAATGTGTTTTTCAGTCTAAAAGTGTATATAATATATACATATATATATATATACACATGTATATATAAATATATATATATTATATATAAATATATATATATTATATATAAATATATATATATTATATATAAATATATATATATACACATGTA